ATTTTCAACTCATTTTCTGCTTCCACAAAGTCAGCACCCCTCACTGTCTATGGAACAGACCTAGATTTCAAATCCCAAATGATGCTAGTGAAGTGTAAGGACTTTCTTTGCCATATCCAGCTTTAACAAACAGCAGTGCAGCTAACCAACACTTCAACTGACGTGGAGCGGAAAAATAACGCACCTGAAACGAACAGTGATCGGTGTTGATGCAAAGGCTCCAACATGGAGAACAATACACAACAACACGCACTCCAACAAGCATCCATTAGCCAAAAGCAGAAAGATAAAAGAAGCATGTTTAGGGGAGATGGGCGAAAAGGAAGCTAAGGATTTAAGGTCTGAACTTGGCAGGAAACGAGTTTGGATCTACACTGTAGGAAGGGATAGTTGGTTTTCATAGCATACGTTAACTTTCAAGTAACCATAAGCATACAAAAGCAAAAACAGAACACATCCATTTCTACAGCTACAGCGTTTATAAAACTCATTTATACACCCATTATATTATTGTTTTTAAGTTAGGTAAAGTAGAAATCTAGTAAAATCCCACCATGCACGTTGGAGTGGACAGTCCGGGGCAGCCGCTTTGCTCTGTAAAGTCTACTGCGAAAATCTTTTTGCGACGAAGGTTTTCCTCCTTTTTAACCGTCTTATCCACGAACTCGTGACTTTACCTAGGTCTACACTGACAAAACTACATGTCAAGTTTACTTCCTTCGCTCTCCAGCGTCTCTTCTTTTCGTCGAAAGCGCGTTTGTTATTGCGCGAAGAGAGGGCAGATACTGCTCATGTTTGGTTCGGGGTTTTACCGACCACCACTAAGTTAGCAAGAATTGTAATGGCTACATCCGGCTAGGGTTTTCAAAATAAGATAGTCCGCCAGTGGTGAAGGAAGTAGTCAGATTCTTTACTTAAATAAAAGTAAAAAGTAGCAATAACGTAGTGTAAAAATACTCTATTGCAAGTAAAAGTCCTGTAATCAAAAATTTCCTTAAGTAAAAGTACAAAGTAAAGCATGTAAGTAAACGTATTACCATCAAAGTACCAAAAGTAAAAACTACTCATTATGCAGAATGGCACATCAATTTACATGTGTATAATGTATCATATTAGTGAATTGTAATTATTGGTGAATTATTGTGTCATCTTTTATTATTGCATTTATTTATTTAGCAAATGTTAGCTGATCTGGCCACTAGAGAATCTGAGAAGCACTGTTACAGTAACTGATAATTGTGTTTGGGTTGAATGCAGCATGTCTGTTCATAATGACTGCCCAAATCAAACCTCTGAGTCCGGACATTGTGTGCATGCCCAAGATGCCTATCACTACCCAAAGCAGACAGCCCATTTGCAATTATGTGTGTGAACTTGTTTTATGCAGAAACCTGCCGGATGGAGAAAATTGGTGAAAAGTATTTGGACAGTGAAGCTGCAACTCTTTCCACTCAGAAACAGACCCTAGATCTCTGCCATTTGAAAATTCATTTCCTGAATGTGAAACTGCAGTCGTTTCCATCATGCTACATTTAGCATATTTGCAGGGGAAGCCAGGAAAGAAACATTTGTTAAGGTTTTCCTGTACTTTATATTCCCTTTTGTGCACTTTCCATTTAATTTACATGATGTACAGAATTTTCAATAAAGTACACACCAACCTCTCTCTGCTTGTGTCTCTTTGTGCATGGACCCCCATATCTTTCTTTGCTAGAATTACTTTAATTACAGTGCTTTGTTTGTTAGAAAAACAATAAAACCACTAGAAATCTTACTGCCCACAAGATAAAATGATCTATAAAAATGAAAAGAAGTAAGTAAACACCCATATTCAAAATTCCCAGTCTAATAGTATCTAACAAAAAACAATGCTCAGCATGGAGAAAAATAGTTTAATTAAAGAAACTGGATGGACAGCAATTAGGGGAAACAAGGGGAATGACCTGTTTGTACCTAAAGCCAGACAGTTTTACTTCTCCTGTTGTTGGGAGAAGAAAAAACAAAACCATGTATCATGTGCTTGAACTCACTGACCTGTCTCCAAGCCCACTGATTCTGTATTAGATGGTTAATATGGAGACCAGTAGACACCACAAGCTAAATAAAAGGAAAGTGCATATTTCTTAATCAAAAACAGCCATTTTTTAAAATGCTGTGAAGGATAGTAATTCTGGTGTATTAAAACATGGGTCCTTCTTGGCCATTATTTCATTCTGTTGCAATAACATTTTACTCACCAAAATAATTGCAGCAAACTGGGAACAAGGCATCATCACTATGACAAACTCATCCAGGGCAGGAAACACAAGTGATCAGAGACTGTAAAAAAGAAAAGAGAGTGCACAAAACAATGTCTGTGATTTAATGACTATCTTAATGGACAGCAGCTGTGTGGAGCTATAAACTGTATCTCCATGGAAGCTGCAAAGCCAGTAATGCTATTAAGCCACTCACATTAAAGAGTTTGTCCTTGTGCTGAAGGGAGCATATGCCTTTCTTAATCCAGGACCAGATTATTATGAATAATTTTTCCATATGTGTTATAGTGACAAAGGACTCAGTAACGGCCTGCATGTGTCCCTTCCTGTCTTGACTAATCTCCAAAAGACAGATGTTGTGCGTGAGTGATTAATGAATTATTTCTGTGGGTTCAGTTACAATCGTTCCAAATTCATAGTCAGAACATATGACTTGATATGAGTATTAACATTTTTGGCATGGTTCTATGCTAGCTTTGCATTATTGTATTCTGCAGGAACTCAACCTTGTTTGTTGTAATTGAGTGGTGCTGTGAGGTGCCAGAGTCCCTCAGCCATCAAATCTCAACATCAAGCATGTGCCAAGGGAAATGTTTGGGTATTTACTGAACAGTGTACTCACATTGATCATCATTATCAAATGTCCTTCTGTAACCGAGGAGCTTTGTTAAAATATGTAATCATTTCATACAGAGTATGAGAGGGATATTCAATAGACTGCAAAAACTATTTCCATCACATTTGTTGGTCTGTATTTTACTGCACTTGACCAAAACGGACAGAAAATGGTCTTAAATCAAGCATAAGCGACATGTGCTTGGCAACCTGAGTCCTGCAAACTGTCCATGACAAATAAGGGTGCACTTTATGTTGCTATGTTGGAATGATGTTATTTATGAACAGCTCTGGCTGATTGATATGACAGTCATTGTATCCTATTCAGGAACTGTGCAGTGATCCTGGTAGAAATCCTGGTTCCCAGGTTCCCATTTTGACAGACACTGCTGCTCTACATACTCAATGTGCCTCTGCATGTACTCAGTGTTCTGTCACACTTTCTATTTTAATGTCAGTCTGGGTCAAATAATATTCTCATTGTGTCTTTAAGCCTTTGAAATTGGGGTTGATCAGGCAGGACAAAATGAGAGCCAGAATATTTAGTATAGTCTCACAATGGACTTAACTTCAGTGAATGACAGTTACCTTAGACTATTTGAACTGATGCTGCCAACAACTTTTACACTTTGGTTTTTGTGTGGATTAACCTACTGAAACATGTTAATTAGTGGTGCTGATAGGTGCATTTTGTTTCCTTTGGACAAGGCCACTCTAGCTGTTTCCCTTGTTGTCAGAGTTTATGCTAAGCTAAGCTAACTGTTTCCTGGTTGTAGCTTCATATTGAGCATCCAAACATGAATGTGGTGTCGATCTTCTCATTTAATGCTCAGCAACAAAACAAATAAGTGTATTTGTGAAAGAAGAAATTTAACCAATTATAAAGATCCTTTCTACTGTGGCCTCAGTGTCGCTGATTTCCTCCAAAATGCTGTAATTGTTCTCATATTTTCTGAACTGACATTGCTCTAATCAATCCAACACTTCCTTGTCACCATGTCCAAGATGAAACTCAGTAAATCAGCTGAAAATCCTCTGACTATGATCCCATCTGGGACTTGAAGTAAAGTCCCTCTGCAGTACCAAAGCCCCCGGCTAATTAACTCTGACTGAAGGTCTTGAAGTTAACAGATTTGGTCAAATAGTCGGCTTAATAAAAAGCAGCTAATGGTGCAAAGAGCCATGCATGCATCCCACCATCAGCAGTGCTGGGGCCTTGAATTCATTTTTCACTGGCTGATATAATACTTTTTATTATAATAATAGTTTATGGAGCAGATCTGTGTCTAAAACTCACTGATCACAATATTTCCTGTGGATTGTAGGTTACACTTTATGAAAGCATCTGAAAAATCTATTATTAGCCTCATTTGATTATCTCCCTCATATGTTGTACCATTTTGATAGAGTGGAATTATTTTGGTCTCTGCACAATTTGTTTCTTTCATCTTTAAGTGCTGGTTGTTTCATCTCCTTTCCTTTACAGATGGCAGCTATTTGTATAAGCATGCAAAGCTCTGATCAGTACAAGATATTCAAAACAGAAGGATACAATCCATTCTGTAGCCTCATATACACAGAGGTTTAATCTAGTTATGTTTTCACCAACTGTTTACTATGAAAGTAAATATAAAAACTTGAGCTGTAATCTTTGAAAGGTTACTTGGATGAAGGTCAGCAGTACTATAAGAGTTGCTGACAGAGTATAAAAGTTCTGTGCAGCTGTCCATCTGAATGCATTAGTGTCACACTCATTTCAATTTTTGTGTGTTTTCACCTTTGTTAAGGAGCTGGCAGGTGACAGCACCGCCATCATCTGGGTGCAGCAAAGACTTAAAGCACAAAGAGCTCCATTCAGAGCCCCCACCCACACAGTTAAGAGGACACCCAGACCCATCCAGCACACAGACTGGAGTCATTATGGGAAACAGTGTGCACTTACACAGCAGTAAAACATTCACATGAAAACATCAAGCACTACAGGAAGGTTTAGAAAAGAAGAAATGAGAGAAGAGGTTGGGAACAAAAACACAGGGGTCACCACATCTGTCCAGGAACTGTAACCTGCTTGCTGTCTCATCTACAGTGATTTACACCAGTCAAACATACACAGGAACTATTCCTACAGCTTACAACAATATTCTACAGGCTCAGCTATCCAAGGAGCTCAGGGGTTCGCATACCATGTGTAAAGTGAGCCTGGTGCCTGGAGCTTCCTTGGACTGGTCTGTTGAAGATAGAGCCAGCAAAGAGCTGTATGGCAGTCATCACTGATTCATGTGTCTACCTCATGTTATGGGCTTGATAAAACAAGAGTCCAAGAGCATCTTGATGAGATTCTCAAATCGCAAAGTTCTTCAATGAGTTTATAATGAGCGTTACTCTCAATGTGAAGCAGATTTTACTCAGTATGGATGCTAGGACCACAGGCCCTGATATAAAACACAGGCACTTTCATATTCCCAGGCTGAACTGTTCCTTTTATATCATAAATCTGAAACGTATGTGGCTCCATGCCGATGAAATCTGACACCACTGGTACATCCTGCAGTACAGCACAACGCAGACTTCCCCACTTTGGAAAGCTGCTGATTCACATGTAAACCGACACCAGTGCAGAGGCAGGGCACTTGATTTACCCATTAAATATTAATATGAAGATGTTTTAAAACTGGGTTAGCATTTATTAAAAGTCACTCGGTCTAAATAATGGATTGCGGACAGTGGTGCTGGGAAGGGCTCAGTCTCACACTACAGAGAAAGCATTGGTCAGGTGCATGAAAATGTACACAACCTCATCACCATGTGAAATCTGACCCCACTTCATTATCATAAAGGCACTAATACTCACATGAGGAGGCCAAAGATCTTTGATGTTCTTGCAAATCGCCAGTCTGATTTATAGGAAAAGTCATCATACAATCATGGGTGGATCCAGGAGGTGGCCACCCCCAGAATCTGATCTCCAGATCAACCTTTCTCTTGAGTGAACTGAGCGGTTATAAAGCACACACTGCCCTCTGCTGACCACAAAGGAAAACAAAAAAGCTGCATGACAGGCATTTTATAAAAAAAAAAAAAACAGCTCATTGAATAAATCAACACTGTAAAAAAGTCAGTAGAGGGCACACTAGGCCAATGTGAGAGTGTTTATATCATCCTGAAAGCTGACAGTGTGATAAGTGTTTACCAGGAAATACTAAACTTTACCACGAAGACAGCAGCTCTTTTCCCAGTATTGTCTGAAACGAAAGAATGGGTTTAACGGAATTTTATCAATACTTTTAGTAGAGAATTAAGTCTTTTTATACAGTAGTACCCACACAGAAAAGCTTTATAAACTGTATAAAAGTATGGTAACACTTTACCATCGTTATTTCACATTCTGGTTCCATACTTCACTCCATAATTAAAAACATCATTCCCTATGTCACTCTATGGATGATAAATGGTCTAACATCGAGCTTTGAATCTGATCAGCTTTAACCTTCAAATGCTGAGGAAGTAAAACAGACCCACCATCAACACAGAAATTACCAATCCTGCCTATGCTTTACACTTATTGTTATTATTTGGGGTGGTTTCATTTCCAGATGCAGGATTCTTAACATCTCGTGGAGTCTTTGTTTTTTTGTTAGCTTTCTCTGCCTTTTCACTCTCCTTTGCCACCACCGCCGCCTTGTCCCCCTCAATTTCCTCATTCTCTGGCTTGGTGGGGACCTTCCTCAGCTTGTGTTTTCCCTTGATGGGGGCTGAGAAGGTGAGCGAGGATTTGATGAAATCCAGAGGGAAGATACCCACGTCTCCGTCAAAACGGTTCTTGGTCACCTGCAGGGATCTGCGGCCAGGACACGTCACAAGCTTCTTCTCCTGCAGAATGAGGACGTTGTCGGCTTCTTGGCTGGCCTATGAGAGGGTTAGCGGTCAATACATTTTGTTATCGGTGCAAAAACGATACCCAAGTTTCACACACTAATGCCAAAACAAACATGGCTTTTGAACAAAAACTCCTTCTTATATTTTTTTTAAAGTAAACTTCTCAAATGATTTAGTGTTTAATTTGGTCTAAATATAATTCAGCCATGGCAGATCTTTGTCTATATAAAATCTTTTATCTAAAACTTTTGACATTTGATGCTACAGACGTGAATGATGCTCTAAAATTAAGATTTGAGCCCCAGTAAAGAGGACTATTTATTCAAGCAGCTACATGTTTAGTCGTTTGCTGCTTATTTTGTAGTAGCAACTTTTCATCAGCACTAATGACAAATACACGCATGTTGCAGCAGTGTTTCTTAAAAACAAAAAACATTTCCGTGTGCTACCTTAGCAGAACCAAAGATAGATGCTGTTTGCAGCTCTCGGTCATCCTCCTCTTTCCTGGGGTGAATGATCAGAGTGACATGGCAGCTGCTGTTGGTGGCAAACTTCCTGAACGCCCCGACAATGTGGTCCTGGACGGCAAACCTGGATTACAGAAAACATTTAATCTGTCCCTGATGAAGCCATAATTGTTCCAGTAACTGAACCAAGATTTGAGCTGCATTCAAAACAGGCTGTTTCATTGTTATCTTTATCTCAAACCACACAAAACCATTTTTATCTTCCTGTTTGTCACTGCTAAACTCACTTGTCTACCAAGAGGTTCTCCTGCCCCATCATGAACTGCAGGTTGTCAATGATAACATGGTTGATATCATAGAGGTAGACAGCATGTTGCATAGTGTCCAGGACTGCCCTAAACAAAAGGTCAAAGAAAGGTCAGAGAAGATACTCATATTAACCCTTCAAACACATCAATATGGAGACAATGAGCTACTCTTTGTCATTTTTTAAATCATTTTTAACCTGTTGATTAATGTTCATACAAATTAAGCTCACAGACCTAATACATTCCTCTTAATATAGAGTCAAGTCAATTTTATTGTCAATTCTACTACATTAACAAGACATACAGAGGAATGAAATTACGTTTCTCTCAGACCCATAGTGAAGGCTGCGACAGAAAACACAGACCATACAATATATAAACAACCACTAGGATATTAAAAAAGTTGAAATATAGACACATGTATGCATACATAGAAAATAAACTACCGTATATATGTGCTGCCATATGTACAATTAAAAATAGCAAGGCAAATCATAATAGCAATTTGTGCAAGAAGATATAGTAAATATAGTAAACATAGCAAAGCTTCTGAGTATTTCAAACTGCTATTTTAGCTTTAAGGTTGCATTTAATGATTACTTTCATAATCAAATAATGTCTATTGATTAGTTAAGTCTCTATTAATCATTCTTCAAATGTCTCGCTGTGTCCAACCAACAGTCAAAAATCCAAAGATATTCAGTTTAAAAAGATAAAACACAGGATAAAGCAGGAAATACTGGCACTTAGTTTAGCTTACATTTCCTAAAGCATCAAAAACATTTAAATAAAGTGCTGACATATTCTTACAGCTAGTGTCGAAATAATCCACTTCAATTACCAGATGTTTTGTTTTTGCCTGACAACCACTAAAAATGAGAATTATATCATGCTGGCTGGGGGTAAAAAGAAAGAAGGCTGTAACCATCCAAGTACAACTTACTTGATGTTCTGCTGCCCGTGGAAAGTCATGAAGTAGAGCGGCAGCTCTTCAAACTTGTCTGCCCAGAAGTCGTACTGCTCCAGATTCTCCTCCAGCCTCTGCATGGCAAACTGTGTCAGCATGATTTTAGCCAGACGCACGTTGTTGATCTCAAAGCTGCCCCATAATGTGTTGACGCCCTGCATACAAAGGTCCAGGGCTAGCTCACTGATGAAGGTGGTCTTCCCACTGCCTGTAGGACCTAATAATAAAAAACATGAATGGATATATTAATGTGATGTAGATATTTGATTGTAAACTGTGCAGAGTGATAAGATAAGGAAACACACACTGGCATTTTCCAGTGTTTAGACATCATATTCAAACTTGAACTGTCTAAAAGATGTGGTAGACAGCCCATTCTTCCTGCCTCATATCTATTCAGCATTAAAAATAAACCTTGGGCCCCTGTGCATGCATGTTTTATTCTTTATGGCCTGCACTTTTTGATCTGTGATCTGTATTTAAATAAAGACAGCAACCAAACACCTAACTTCAAAACACCTTACTGGAACCTGATATTATCTAAGAACTGATTGTCAATAACAACAGTAAGTTTTAACACTGGATTAATTGTTTTTTGAGCGCTTGGTTGTATTTAAACAAGCTAAAAACACAACAACCCCATAATTATACTTTTCACCATCTAGGTGGCATATTTGTCAGTTGCTGACGAGTAGGTAAGCTTCAGGTAGTGTGTCACTAAAACAATAACCTGAATGATGCTAAACACTCCATAGAGCTGAAAGCAGCTGCAAAGTTGGGTCATAAGTCTCTGAGGGTTTGTTACTACGTACGACACCTTTGTGATTACAAACCAGGACTATATTTTTAGTTGTGTACTTGAAAAAGACAAAAAAGAAATGACTGCTTGGTTGTTTAAACATGTTTCCTAATACCTGTGAAAACAGTCAGTTCCCCCTTGCGATGCCCCTTTAAGATCCTGTTGAGCTCTGGAAACCTCGCCCACTTCACTCCAGCCACCTGTTCTTTGTTCATCAGCTCCCCATACACGTCCTCTCTGAGCTGCTTGAAGGACACAATGGACTTATGGGATGCTGGGATAGAGGCCTTAATGATGCGACTTAAGTTCTTGCCCTGAGCCAGCGCCTCCATGGGACACGGCCGGTACTCCCCAGGTCGCACTAGCGAGCAGCGCTTCAGTCCCAGCTTGCGGGAAAAGATCTTTGATGCCTCCCAGGAGAGGATGTCACTACCCAGCCACAGTGTCACCCGCTTGAACTGCTCCAGGTAAGGTAGCAGGATCGGAGGGAGGCAGCTGACTCCACGTGGGAGAGCAACACTGGGAAGTCCTGTGGCCTGACTCACAGCCAGAGTGTCCAGCTCATGGCCAGTCAGCACCACCTCCGAGTCCATACGGCCCACCAAGGGGATGCCAAACAGGTTGTAGTAAGAACTACACTTTGGCACTGTAGCTTCATTATATCTGACTTTCTCAGTGTCTGTGGGTTGTGCAGAGAGAAGCTTCACCCCCTTTAAAGATGATTCAGGTCCACCAAACCAGGGGAATACCAAACTCTTGGTTGGCTTGAAGAGTCTCACACCAAACTTCTTAAGGGTTGCATTAGAGACCTTTGTGATCTGAAACAAAACATTTGTAAACAATGTCATTCAGGGGAAGAAAATTCTGGAGATATTCCAGTATTTCCTGTTTTAAAATCTTACAACTAATTTGCCCTAAATTTAAGATGAATGATTTATTATTTCTGTGTATTTACATGAGCAAATCACCAAACAGTTTCTGGAAAAGAAAGATTGGTTTATTCTTCACCTGTTTTCCTTCATTGATAAGTATAAGCTCATTATGTTGAACTATATATGGATTTACTGGCCTCCTATAGTGCATGTGATGGTGCTGGCGTCTGTTGTTGTTCTGACTGATATAAAAAAATTTAATAAAATGTAAGTGACATAAACAAATGCAACATCCAAAACCTCAATCACCAACATATCTCTCACTAATTCACACCCACCTGGAACATGGTTTTAATCAGCTGAGCCTCATCCTCAGGCAGGTCAGTGAGGGGCACTGAGCTGGACCAGATCCTCTGCACCTCCCTCAGCTCCCGCTCCCTCTCCTCCTGCTCCTCCACACTCTCTGAATATCCCAGCAGCACGTGAGGGCTCAGGAAGTCCTGCTCATCCTTCTGCATCACCTCCAGGCAGTCTTGGAGGTCCTCCCAGCTACCTTCCACTAGCGTGTCTTTACACAGAAACTGGCCGGTGGTTTTGTCAATGAACAAGGAGAAGCTATGATTCCTGTCAGACGAACCAACAAAGATGCTCGGGATGTGGAGGCAGCTGTATCCATCGTGGAAGGGAATATCTTTGGAGCGCAGATACTGTTTGATGTCTGTGACTGTGATGGGACTCACAGGAAACTCCACAGTAGATTTTGCATCCTTCTTATAAGCCCTTGTCCCTCTGCATTTCAATAAATAGCCTGCACACCTAAGCCTCAGGCCATATGAAACATCAGGAGGCCTGTGAGTGAGCCTCTGAGTGACAAGTCTCAAACACAAGGATGAAAAATGCCTTTGGTGGAGAAACCTGGGGTCTACCACCTGCAAGAGACAGGTGGTACCCTTCAGCAGCAAGCTCCTCCACATTAGTTACGTGGTTAGGACACTGACCCTGCAACGAGACACGGAAAATCTGAAAAACAACATCAGCGTACAAGCAAAGTTACAAGGATGTCTTGAGTGACCTAACTCTTAGCTACTGAGAGGTCAGAGAGCCAGGCATAAAATCGTCATTACTTTTATTAAACGGACATTGGCTATAAAACACAATTAAACTAAATATGCATGAAACCCTTAATTGGAAATAAATGCAGTTTAATAAATGAACAAACACGCAAAAAAACCTGCTTACTAGCTTTGTTTTCTGTCCACATGCTCATCTGCTACCCGGGCTTTTCGGTGCATCTTCAAAACAAGTTTGTAAGAAACATAGAGTGAAAGGTACCGAATTACAAATGTTAACGCTCTTTTATATACACGTTTTACAGGATTGTAAAAAAATTTATGTGACGTAAAATAACATTCGGCATTTTTATTTGCTGACTTCAGAAATCTTATGATGAAGTCTTATTTTTGATTTTCTGTTGTGTCAGTTATATGTTTCACCCCGGAACAAAAACTGGACGGACTGCTGCTCGTGAAGTCGTCCTCTATGAATGCTGTTGCAATTTAACGAATTTGGCAAGTTGATTTGTGATTTTAGCTGTTTGGAATTAAAGAAAAAAAGAGGTTTGTGATCTACAGTTTACAGCCTAACCATTAAACGACGGTTAAACGATGACATCCAGAGGGACACCCAGTCGCTTCTTGCAAAGTGTTCTCCAGAACGGTGTCGGTCGCTATGTCTGCCAGCTAAAACGAATTTCCATCATCTTCTCTAAAAACGCACAGAGCTCGTTGGGAGCCAGGTAAAAAAAAAAGAGCGCATGTTGAATGGATGCTGTCTAGTCTATAAAGGGCTGTGGTGTGTTGATGCATATTGTAACTAATATTTGTCCACTCAGTGCTATTGACATTAGAGCTACAACTAAATAAATTCAATAAACAACATGAAGGTGTTTCAGAAATTCTAATGGTCACATTTTTCTTACATTTTATTGACCAGATTATTATTCAACCATACAGTATATGAGCAGATTGATAATGAAAATAATCAGCAGTTGCAGCCCTAATTATTACATATTAGTTATTTATTATTACTAATACATAAATATGTTTGCAGCACTTTTATGTTGTAGATGGTTGATTTGTGGCTGTCTGTAGTCATTTTATGTGTTGATCATATGTTTTGTATGTGAAATATTTTGTTTAAAAGTATTAATTTTAGCTGTCACATAAACGTAGTGCAGTAAAAAAGTACAGTAATTTGCTCTGAAATGTAGTAGATTTGAAATATAAAGCAGCAGAAAACAGTAATACTTAAGAAAATGGCTCATAATTGTTCTAAATTGTACATATGGCAAGTCAAAAACATAAGTAAATGGGATTAGTTGCATTGCACCATGCTGAATAATGAAAATAATTATTGGTTCAACCTACCAAAAGCAACATTACATATTCTTGGTTGCCACTAACAACACCGAATTGTTGTTGTTGCCTTCTTCTTTTTCAGGGAGTTTGTTGAAGAAGGAGTGGTGGATTATGCCAAGAACAACCCTGGAACTGTGGTGTATGTGTCTCCTCAGTCCTGCAGGATTCCCAAAATAGTTGCAGAGTACTGTAAGTGTCCATGATCTTGTGTTTTAACAGGAAACCTGACTAAACACTATTTTTTTTCATCATTAGCTATTACCAATTTATTATGCATTGCATTAGAATCAGAATCAGAATCAGCTTTATTGGCCAGGTGTGTTGGACACACGAGGAATTTAACTCTGATACATAGGCTCCCAATGTGCATGTACATATCCCCATGCAAGGGGCAAATAAACCGTAAACCAACATAAGGCTAGTATAACATAATAAGCAGTATTAACAAGCAACAAACAATGCAAACAATGCAAAATAAGCAGTATAAACAGACAGTAAACAATGCAGATAAAGGAATGCTCTTTGTGAATGAGATAAATAGGAATAAAAATAGAGACCTGTAGGGATCTGTATAATCTGTACAAGGTATATTTACAGGTATTGCACTGAAGGTTATTGTCCAGTCATAATTATTATTTTCCTGCATTCTCATTTGGGTTTTATTTATGGTTTTTAATGATTTATTGAAAATGATTAAATACTTCCTTTTTTAGATATTATCAAACTATTAAGTAGGCTTCTGAAGCAAGTTGTTAAAAAAAACATACTGTGGCCATGCTAAAACATAAAAAAGGAACTGTTTACAAAGTGTGTGACAACTCTAAGCCCTGTGGGTTTTCAGTAAATGCATGAGAAACACAAAAGGTGAACTACAGTGAAGTAGTATTCTAAGGTAAAGTAAAAGTAAAGTAGATACTGTAGGGGGCAGTAAAAGACTGCCTTTTTAAGGTCTCTGGTTGTTTCACCTGACTTGGTTAAACAGTCTCACTCAGAATCATATGTTCTTGTTGACAGTGTGACATTAGTTTCCCAGAAAAGTGTGTACCTCATTATTAATGATTTCCTCTTTTCCCTTTCCTGCAGTAAATGGCAACGTGAGGGAAGAAATTATCACGTCCAAAACGTCTCCACAGATTTCAGAGCTTTTGACCAAACTGACTAATCAGTCTGGCCTGGACATCATTCGCATCCGCAAGCCTTTCCACACAGATAACCCCAGCATCCAGGGCCAGTGGCACCCATTCACCAACCGGCCGCCGTCCATCGACCCCATCAGATCACAGAAACAGGACTAACCAGTGGTGTTTCCAGAGAATGAGTGCTTAATTTCAGTTCATCTTTAAAGATTTTTTTAGGAGATGGTAAATTGTCTGCACAGGTCAGGTAGTTCTCATGACTGCAGTAATATTCCAGGGTATTTGTTAGCTACTTCTGCAGAACCCCACTTTCAACTGAATATCTTTTACCCTGCCCTTCTATTTGATGGCTGCTGCAAAGCTACTTGAAACAGGCAGTACCAGCTCTGAATGCCACATTTGAATACACTTTACATGACTCCACCAGAGGATGGTCAGCTGGAATACTGAAAAGCAGGTAACAGGTGTTAATCTCAAGGTTATCTGTAATAAATGCAGCACTCAAGAGCAGATGGAACTTTATATGAAATAAATATTTTTTGTGCAAATGCTGGCATTGGTTTTTAAAGTTAGATTTTCTTTGGCGTTCTGCTTGAACAGCTTGTCAGAGGAGGATCAACAGAGCAAAACTGATTATACTGGTGCTGTCTGCATAATTAAATCTGACTTATTTAACTGCAGTTAAACTAACAGAAAAGATGCACACCTTTTCTTTTTGTATGACATAGGGAATGTATGTCCTTACAGGATTGAAGGTTTCCTCGCGGCACATCCCTAAACGACAGAGATTAAATGAACATGACAGATGGATGGGTGTACGATACAGTAGCTTGAGATACAACTCTTAACCTTTAGCACAGAGGTATCCTCTGTTGTCACTGGTAAGAGGAACAAAAAAAACTAACACTCCTCCAGTGGGTGATTTGTTCAAATTCAGCAAAACAGATTTTGGCAGAACTACTTGTGGCTTTCTTTGCAGCACTCTGCTGTAAATGCTAGTCATCAGATGAATACAAATAAGCAGACATGCATGAAGTGAACACAACAGGTTCCCTGGGAAAGTTTGTGTTGACTGATGGACCCCAGTCTGCTGGCATAAGTAACCACGGGAAATGGTTTAGCTAGGTGACAGCAGAGGCTGGTGATGAGGAGTCGAGCTCTGCGGCAGTTTACTGATGCAGATTTCACTCATTTTTTTTATAGGCATATGGATGCCCTCTTCCTTTAAATGACCCTCACACACAGACAGACTATTGAGGTATTTTACTTAAGTATCAATCCCACAATGAATAACACTCCTGTAGAAGTAAAATCCTACATACTTATATAAAAAGTAAGGATGCTGATTATGCTAAATTATCAAATTCAAAGTGTTAAATGTATCCATATATACCAAAAATTTTATTATAAATTAATTGCGATTTCAGCAGCATTTGCATGTCCAGGCTGAGCTTACTTAAACACCTGTATATACAGTTAAATACATTGGTCAATCCATAGCAATGCATATTTTATATTTGTGTATAAAATCTTGATCTGATAACCGAATGTCAGATAAATATGTTGGAGTAAATAGTATATTTGCATCAGAAATGTAGTGGGGTAGAAGGATAAAACAAATAAAAGGTCCAGTAAAGCAAAAATGTACTTGAGTATAGTACTTGAGAAAGGTACTTATCACAGCCCATAGACTGCAGTTACTGTGTATCACTGTTGCACCAGTAACATTTCCCAAATTTAGGTAAAATTTAGCTGTACATTCAGGACAGGCATGATAAACCATTATTGTCATTTCATGCTCACTTCTTGCATTTTAATTTATCTACAGCACCAACCACATTCATCAGAGCCACTGTGCTCTCATCACACCCGCGCTCCCCAGTGGCAACTGGCACAGCCACGACCCACACTAGGACATCAGAGGCTCTAAATAAAGATGCTGTTGCTAAGTTACTGGTCTTGAATGGTCCTCTGAAAATGTCCATGCTATCCCCACCAATGTTACCTCTGCTCTGTTAGTCATGTTTATGTACTGTATGTACATGACGGGGATCATGTGGGTTCTGGTCCCAGTGGAGAACAGTGGCCTTGCTGCACTACCATACTCATGACTATGTCTTGAGAATAGGATTCAGTGTGAACGTGTTTTGCATGTCATTTCCTGACTTCCCCTCAGGGCTATTTACACTAACACTCCCCCCTCAAGCTGAATATAAAGCAAAGTGTTTTATCTGCACAAAAGCCAGTGCAAATTTAATGAACTCAATAAATAAGACATGAGACATGATATAAAAGAGTCCTTTCTGTCAACAGCTCAGGTGGTTCAACTTCTTACAAGAAGCAAGGAAGTTACCTCATTATATTCTGAGAAGACCACATATTAACATAAAAAAATACAGAACCAACTTAATGGCTAGTCTCACAGTTTACAGGGGTATACTACATGACTTTTAACTAAGTATTAAAGTAAGAACAGTGCAAAATATGAACTCTTTACACCAGGTTCTTTGGCTGACACTTAAAGCAATAATCTTCATCTACATAAAACATAGTGTATCTCTCATATTGACACAGCGGGACATAATTACTGTTGTTTAAACTGCAAAACAAGGGCTTCACTGTGGGTTTATGTACAAAATTGATGAATGTAAAACTGGCAGCCAATATGTTAAACAATTTTTACCAGTCCACAGTCCATAGTACAATATACAGTGTAGAGTCAGTATCTATTGTAAACAGATTGTCCTACAGTGAGTATGATGCAGCAGCAGCCACAAAGGTTGCACATTCAGGTGAAGTTTCCAAAATGTAACATAGAGATTGTCCACAGCTTAATGAAGAGGGAAACTGCAGTCGTATTTACAGTTTTTAACATGCAATGAAATGAAATGAAAGAACCTTTATTTACAGTGTTTATCTAAATAAAATGAAATGCTCCAATGAAACACACCTATAAATTAGTATGGGTCAGATTCTTGACTTATTCTTGGTCGGTCTCTCAGCAAAGTTAATCATTAAAATTCACAGACAAAGAGTCATATTGAAAATTTGTGCATTGAAAAAAACTCATGAATCATAACATCAGCAAGAACTATGTGATCAATATTTACTGTATCGCTAATGTTAATCTAATGCAAAAAATTCCACTGTTTCTCCATTTCCTGCCTTCACCAACATGAACCCATGTGCTCCTTGAAAACTGGCTCTAATTGATTAGGGGCCATCACGGGCATTTGTAAACTCAGCGGGGGCCTCGAGAGAGAAAGAGACTGTGAGCAGAGAGAGTAACAGATGATAGTGTCATGCAGAGAGGATGAGATGGAGAAACAAAAGAGACAGTGGAGAGGCAACGAGCGGAGGAATGAAAATGGGTTAAAGGCCTAAAGAAGTTGAAAACAAGTGGCTTCTGCAAACATGTTCAGTTGTGTCATCATCATTCTGCATGACTAACCAGGACATGTAGGTCAGGTCAAATGGCCAGAAAAAGGTCAAGGAAGAAGTGACCACTGCTAAAAACACAAGATTAACCTTCCTGTTATGTTGTGGGTTGACCCACTGTAAAGTAAAAAAATCTAAAAACAATAGTTAAAAGTATTTTATTGGTATGAAACTTCTTCTGCTTGGCTTAACAGGTGTAATCAACATATGAAATGCAAATGGGTCATTTCACATATTTGCAGCCTCCCCCTGCATGTTTATATTACAAAGGTACTGTTCAGGTCAATTTGACCCTGAACAGAAGAGGTGTCTCATGTTAATTTATCAACATCACTTCATAAAAAGATTTCAAAATGTAAAATTAAATAAAAAAAAATCAATGTCATGTAAAAATTTTATATGTAGGTCTTTCCAATGTACAATAAAAAAAGTTTTAACATGCATTTTTAATGAAAAACGAGTGTATTATCCTCATTGAACTATAATCTGAGAGGTAAAAAACACCATTGCACTAAATAGTGATTGAAAAGGTTAGTAATGGGAAAATGAACCCAGGAACATCACTGCTGTTCCTGAGAAATGAACATAACAGGTGGGTTAAATATAAGAGCAAATATGGTGAATATGTAACTCATGAG